TTTTATTTTTGGATATTTCTCACCCTACTTTTGCATATCTACGATTTATCTTTGCCCTATTTTTAATTCTAAGTTGTGCATGTGTTTCTTACTTCTTGGAAGTAATGAACGTGAGTGTGAGATGCAGCCCTAATCATTTGATAATGAGGAGAGGGCAACCCAAGGACACCAGGCAGTCAGTGTGCATGTCCCGCTGAGCAGAAGGTACCCAGTGCTCTTTCGTAGGTAGTTTGTAGTCACCTCTCTACTTAGGGTCACCTTTTAACTGGTTAAGACTTTTTTTTTTTGAGACAGGGTCTCGCTATGTAGTTCAGGTTGGCCTCAAACTCATGGCAATCCTCCTGCCTCAGCTTCCTGAGTGCTGGGACGACAGGCCTGTGCCACCTTGCCCGGCTTCAAAACCTTTTTATACTTTGGGCCACTTTCCACTATGAGAAAAAGCAACTGGCCATCCAGCCTTCCTCAGCTGCAGAAAGAACAGCTTGTACTGCTCATGTCTGACCACCTACAGAAACACACTTGCAGGAGAGTCTGCATATTAATAAGGGTTATATTTACTATTTCTGAATAAGTACACAAAACGCACTGAAAACCTGCGCATTTGCAAAGTGCCACATAGGTAAATTCCTTTCCTTTTCAGTAATTACATGGGACATTTATAAAATTCTGTTTAACAGCCACTGACCCGTTTCTAATGTGCAACAGGGATTTGAACTCAGAGCCGCAGCAGAATCCAGCCCGTCAATAACTACACTCTGCTCAGGGACCCCTTCCAGCAACACCCCAGGCTCTCTTCGCCCTTCCAAGAGAGGCTGGTTTAGAAAACACAAAGCCAGGGGTCTCCTCGTCTAACCTCCAGCATGTTCAAGTGCTGGTAAGAAGGCAGCAGTGACATCTGAGAGTAGCAGTACGAAGCATGAATTCCCTCAGAAGAAGCCCCCAAGCCCCAGTGGGATCCGCCAGCCCACAGACTCCTCACCCTTGGACTCTGTTGCCTCGGCGACCGCCCGCTGAGATTCCGGTACTAGCCGTGGTGCTCTAAATCTAGAGCTCCGGGCCCCACCGTGCCTGCTGGGCAGAGTCCCTCAATTCCAGGACCCAGGAGTCTTTCACATATCCATTCAGCATTCTCCCCAGCTCAGGTCCTCACCTGCCACTGCCACTCCCACTCCCACTCCCTACAAACGAAGTCATTCCTGCGCCATGGCACACGGTCACCCACCCTGGCCGCGCTGGTGCTCGCTCTCAGCTGACTGAAATGCTGATGCTGAGCCTCTTCCCCCAGGTTCTGATCAGGTCCGGGTTGGGGCCCAAAAGACTGAGGCTGGTGCTGCTGATCTGAAGGCCAAGGCCACTAAGAGCACGGGTCAGTACACCAGGGACAGGGCCACGGGGTGGACGGCCACAGGCTGTGAGGGCCGGGCTGAGAGCTGCGGTCTAGACTGACCAGGGGTGAGAGCTCACACACTGACAGCTCTGAAAGGCCCGCCATCGCTCTGGCTCTGAAGCCGTGCATCTGAGGAGAAGCACAGTGCGGCAAGCGAGGGATGGCAGGAAGGCGTGGCCCAGCCCTGGGGGCCTTCCCGCCTCTGCCTTGGCCAAGAAGGAGCCCTCGGCTCCTCACGGTGCACTGCTCTCCAGACACAGAGAAGCCGGCTGTGGGAGGAGGAGAGGGCTCCCGCAGGAAGCCAGGCTGTTCCCCGGGAGGAACACACACAGGTGTCTTCCGAATGCGGCTCAGTTCCCATGACCTCCACCCTGACTAAGTCTTCATGGAAATCTGTGTATAATACAGGTGACATTCTTAGACTCTGACGTCAGAGCTTCTCTGCTTAGTATCCCTAAACCACAGCCTCACACCGACTGCATCATTCCCTCTTTGGTTTTCGTGACTACCACAGCCCCTGTGGCCTGTTCTCTGGCACTGGTAAGGGCAGGGTCTCATCTCCTGACCTGCTGCTCTCTGCTCCCATGTGGGACAGCAGCTCCCTCCGTCTCGGTTGGAGAAGTCCTAACCTGGCACCAGGATGAGAGAGATGAACAAACTGTGGTTCAAGATTTCAAAGGGTTTACAATGAGGTATTATAATAAAATAAAGTAACATAACTTATTTGCTAAGCAATTTGTACTAATGTTTTAAATATTAAGTATTACCCCAAAACTAAAAGTACCCATCAGTACTCAACTTCTATCTACTGCTTTGGATAAGGCACTGGGTCCTACCAGGAATAAAATGGGAAAGTTGGTTGAAACTGTAGCAGAAAACAGGAGAGACAACCTTATGAAGTTCTCTCTGGTGGAGAATGGAGTCGGCAGAACAGAAAACTGGACTCTGGGAGACTGAGGAGCAACACTGGCCTGGACAGTGTGGGCCACAGAGGAGCAGCCCACTGCGGAGGGGGTGGAGAGCCAAGACGCTCCTCAGTGGAGCGCAGGCCGGGCTGACCAGCTGGAGTGGAGACGTGAGGGAGTTCGGGAAGGGAAGGCAATGGACCCTCCTCCTCCCAGGGCCAACATGTCTGTGTCCAGGAAGGTGGGGCCACAGGCACAGAGTGCCGAGCCCAGGAGAGGGTAGGGGAGCGGAGGGGAGGTGGGAGGGAACAGAGAGGGACACAGAGGCGGCCAGTGTGGGATACATCACCCGAGTGAGCGGCTCGGCAAACCCTTGGGAGCAGTAGGATCCAGCTCTCTGAGCAGAATGCAGACAGGGGAGGGGAAGGCCGGGAAGACTGGGAGACACCAGTTAACCTGGGGCACCAGGGGGAGCGCATGAGAGCTCCTCCCATGTCAGTGCGCACAGGCTCTGCTCCAGCCCACAGTCTGATGGGGCCGGAAATAGTGGCAGCAGCACGGAGGGCTCCGGGGCTGGGTGGGGAAGGCATGGAATGAGCCAGACCCTGTACAGTGTCCAAGGGGAAGGCAGCTCCGATGCAGATGGAGACCCCAGGCCCACGTGAAGAGAATCTGAACAATGAATAGCAGAGTGCAATGAAAGCATCACATCATGAACCACTGAACACGCGGGTGTGATGCTGCCCGCCTGTGACCCCAGCGCCCTGGGAGACTGGGGCAGGAGGATCACAAGTCCAAGCCCAGCCTGGGCGGCTTAGCAAGGTTCTGTCCCAAAATAAAAAGTAATAAAGAGGGCTGGGGATCCAGCTCAGTGCGAAGGCCCTGGATTCAATCCCCAGGGCCACAAAATCATCGTCATCATCATCTTCATCCACTGAATGCAAGAGGCAATCCATGAGCCCATGATGACATAAATATGTACACACCCACACCCACACGCATGCACACGCACGCATGCACACGCGCACACATGCAGAGGGAAAGCAACTCCTCAAAACAGAATTTCAACTCATGCCTGAGGCCTGTTTTTGTGTAGCTCATCATCAGTACACAAAGGATGGTTTTTATATTTGGAAAGTTGTTGAAAAGAAATCTAGAAGAACATGCACAGGGCCTGAGGTGGCAAAATGCTCAAAGCAGGTACTGCTGGGTCTGTTAGAGAAAGTGGTCGCCAACCTCTCCAAGAAAAGAGGCAGCAGCTGGGCTGTGCGGGCCACTGCCACAGCGGAGCTGCTCAGCCAGGGTCCTCCGGAGCCACGGAGGCTCATGATGAAAGTCAGGGCCGAATCTGGCTGAACCTCCCCTGCAAAATAAAAGCTGTGTAGTCGCTGAGACTGTGAACCACATGGAGCACACAGTCTGAAGAACTGCGTCAGACTGCAGGTTTGAAAACAGGGTGGACCCTGGTTCAGAAAAGAAAAAGGACATGCTATTGGGAAAAGCGGCCATATTTCAGTAAAAAATTAACGATCCAGACGAATGCCAAGAAGAAAGTATAAGAAGCCCATGACATAGGAGTCAGCTTTGACGTGTCAGGCAGAGGGCAGAAGAGCTGGAAGGGGTGCGACTTTGGTGGGGCACTTGGACAGCTTTGCCAAGCAGGGAAACCAGGGAGCACATACGGACGAAAATGGCATGAACCCCGAGAAAAAGCTCCTGAGAAAGTCACTGGCAGGCTGCATCGGTCCTGCTGAAGGCTGGCCTTGACTGTAATGTCACAATTAGGCGGAAGTTTTGCAATTTTGACAACAGGCAGCTCCTGAAACGGGGGTGTGGGTGTAGGAGTGTGCTGGGTATTTAGGGAGTAGGACTTTCCCTTGGTCTTCAGGATTAGGCTAACATAAGAACTGAAAACTACCCGCAAATACCCACATCCCAGCCACGTGCAAGCAGCCAGGGCCTCGGTGGAACAGCTGAAGGAGACCCAGGAGGCCACACGGGGAGGAACAGGAAACAGGCGAGAAAGAGCGACAATGGCCGGCAGGAACTCTTTAAAGAGTGTGTTTGTGAGGAAGGGCAGCCAGCCCACACTTCCTGGTGTGTTTGTGCTTTCTTTAAAAAAAAAAAAAAAAAATGGGGTAGAGTAAAAAACACATGAATCTTGACTACAAGGATCTAGTGAAGGAGGAGAGATTCAAGGCAGAGGGAAGAGCAACAGTGGCCACTGTTCCCAAGAAGGGACCAGGAGGAGATGTGGAGAAACGAAGTGCAGGGTGACAGGAGAAGCCGGGGCTCACCGCTGCCCAGAGGGACAGACCGGGAGAGGAGAGGTGCGTGCAGGTGCGTCTGTCTGGGCCACAAGGGACAGAGCCACTGGGCCCACTCTGAACGAGGCGCTCACGAGGAAGGCCGGAAGCACTGGATCCAGAAAAGCCCTCCTGTGTCCCCTGTGTCGCCAGTGACTGCCCCTGGCAGCTCCAGAGCTCTGAGACGGTGATGTCATGGCTCCCTACAAGGTCTAACTGGAATTTCCCAACTCTCCCAAGGTTTTCCAGGCCCCATTTCAGGAAAACTGCATTACTGCTCTCACCAATGATTATTCCAAAATTTGATTCCAGCTGTATGTGCGCTCAAACTGCCCCTCTTTCTGGCATATTCGTTCAACCCTGTGTCCAAACAGACCCCGCGATGCCCCCAAGGTGCCTTACCGACACTGCCGTTACCCTGAGGGAGTCGATGGGGGCACGTCGGAACAGGTGCCACAGAGCAGGCCCGACCTCCCCTGGGATGACGCCCAGGGGCTGTGCAGAGGAGGCGGTGCACACGTTTTCAATGATCTTTGCTGCCATGTGATTCACAACACGCTCTTCCTGGAGAGAGAGCAAAGAACAAGGAGAAGACTGAAAGCATTATTCAGTACAAGAAGTGAATGCACAGCACTTCTGCAAAACCACGAGTAACTTTGATACCAAAACTGTATCATCTGTCCCTCCGTGTTAAGCACCTTGAGGGTGTGGTAACTCTCAGATTATTAGAAAACCAACACAACAATTTGGTTATACACTAGTGATCTAGCAGAACATGATTCTCCACATATTTTAGCAAGCTAGCAGAATATAATTCTCTATATATTTTTTTTTTTGGTACTGGGGATTGAACTCAGGACCTTCTGCTTGCAAGGCAAGCATGGTGCCACTGAGCTAAATCCCCGGCCTCTCCATATTTTAATAAAAACCGATCCAGGTGTGGTGGCACAGACCTGTAATCCCAGTTGCTAGGGAGGCTGAGGCAGGAGCCTCATAAGATTGAGGCCAGCCTGAGCAACTCAGCAAGATGCCATCTCAGAACTTTAAAAAACAAATAAATAAAAAGGGCCAGGATGTTGCTTAGTACTCCATGAGTTCAACATCCAGGACTGAAAATAAATACTAAATAATGTGGGAAATAAGTAACACAAGTAAAACACAGAAGTCAAAAGGACCAGGCAGAACAACCCAAGCACCCAGGGTTAGGAATGGCCTGTCCCCCAACTCCCCAGAGAGGAAAGTCACTGAAATCCAAGACCATCCAGAGAGGCCTAAGAGGGACACCGCCTCACCAGCATATTCCACAGGGAGTATTCCACATCCTCTGAACAGGGCTTAACCGCTGGCCTCAACAGCCTCAAACTGCTTTCGGGTCATGTAAATAAGTCTAAGAAAACGTTCAAAATACTTATAGGATCACAAGAAGAATTCAGTACCCAAGGATATAAAATTTGTAGTATCTGACATCCAATTACCAAGCATGCAAAGCAGAACAGGATTCTTAAGAAAATTCAATCAACAGAAGTGCTAACAGAATTAGTCGAGATGTTAAATTGGCTACTATCATATGGCCCACTTTTACAGGAAGGAAGAAGAAGGAGTGATGAGAGAAGCCAAGATGATACATTACTCACGTCAAAGAATCGGTCCAAATGGGTTAAAGGATTACACTAGGGCTCGAAATTATAAAACTACTAGAACAAAGTACTGGGGGAGAGATCCACAACACTGGTTAAGGCAGATGTTTTTTGGACATGATCTCAAAAGCACAGACAATGAAAGCAAAGATAGGCCATGTGTGTTAGTCACCCTTCTCTATCATTGCTGAGACAAAATACCCGACCCCCAACGTTAGAAGGGAAGGGATTTATTTGGCTTACAGTTCATAGAGGTTTCAGTCCATGATCAGCCAACTCCAAGGCAGGGACGACAAACAGGCAGGGCAGAGCAGAAACAACATGGTGCATACAAGGCAGCAAAGGTGACAAGAGAGAATTACCAGTGTCTCCCTGCCCCTTTTGTCTTTTTCAGACTACTTAGGGTGGGAAGCACTCACAGCCTTCATCCTAGTGCCCTTGAGCCTAGCATGGCATCATGAATCAATTCCAGCTTCACACACTCTAGCTCAAGCCTATGACTACGCGAGGCTTTGGGGGGACATCCAGACCCTAACCATGGCACCATGGGATCACATCCAATTAAACATCTCCTGCACAGCCAAGGCAACAGTTAAGAGTGTGAAGAAACAACACATGGCCTTGGAGAAAATATCTATAAATCATACACTGGACACGTGGCTAATGCAGATACATGAAGAACTTGGGGTACTAGATAAGAAAACAAATAACCCTATTAAAAAGACAGGCAAAGGACCTGAACAGACATTTCTCCAAAAAAATAAACAAACACAAATGGCCAATGGACACAGGAAAAAGGGCTCAGCAGTTCTAGTCATGAGAGAATGTGAATTACAACAGTGAGATATCATCTCGCACCCATTAGATTGGCTACTACAAAAAGATGAAAGCTATCTGCTGTGGAAGATGAGGGGAAAAGGACACTCCTACACTGTTAGTGGGGTAATAAATTAGTCCAGCCATCATGGAAATCAGTACGGCGGTTCCTCAAAGAACTAAAATTAGAATCCAGTATGACCCTGTGATCCTGCACTGAGCCTGAACCCAGAGGAACCAAAATCCACGCATCAAATGGAGGTCCATGCCCCGGGCCAACCAGCCACTCACAAGGGCCAGGATCTGCGACACCCGGACGGGCGACAGTGAAGACGGAGTTCTGCGCAATGCAATGCTACATGGCGGCTCACAAAGCAGAACTCAGTCAGTCTGGGCCACCTGGGGGAACCTAGAGGAAGGCGTGCACTGTGAACAAGCCAGGAACAGAGACACAAACCTCACAGCAGCTCACTCAGAGGTGGAGTTATGAGGGGCTAAAGGCATAAACCACAAGGCAGCAGGTGGCAGCAGGGATGAGGCGGGTGGCGAGCGACCAGGAAGAGAAGATGCTGCCCAAGGGATGAAGTGGCAGCTGGACAGGGGAGCATGTTCCAGCATCTCACAGCTCGAGACTGCAGCTGGCAGTAACGCACTGCACTCTGCGGAACAGCTGGAGAGCCAGGGGTCCGGGCCTTCCCACCAGAAAAAACGGGAAATACTGGGGTGATGGCATGCCATGAGACTGTCTGTACACACATATGGAAACACCACAGGGCACCCCATAAATATGCACAATTATTACTTGTCTATTAAAAATAAAACTTAAAAAAAATTTATGCAAAATGAACATATTTCTAACAAAAGCTGAGAAAATACATCACCAACAGAACTGCACTCCAAAATATTAAAGGAAATTCTTGAGCCAGAAGAAAAATCACAATGAGAGAAACATGATCTATAGAAAGGAATAAGGAATAAAATCATTAAATATATAAATAAATATCATAGACTTTTCTTTAAATTTGAACCTCTTTAAAACACAGGGAAGGTTTTAAATAATGACTGTATTGTGAGGTTTTTAATAGCTATAGAAGTAAAAATGTCTAATACTAGAAACCCTCAGAGGAGAGTACATCATTCTGATGTAAAGTTCTGACACGTGGTTCCTAAATGTGACAGGCAATTCTGTGTGCCATTCTATACGTTACCCAACTAAGGAAGGCTCTGGTGGAAGAGATTTCAGTATTATACAGGGTTCGTATGTGAATTTGTGTATCATTACTTGTAGGTAAATTAGAGATATATCTGTAAAAAGTGGATAATAAGCCAGTAAAGGCAACGAAAAGTCAGTAAAGACAAAGAAAATGTGGATAACACTACTAACCAACTTTGACATTTAGAGAAAACTCTGTTCAACAAAAGTGCACATTTCGAGAAACATGATAAGGTTGGACCAAGTTCTGGGCCAAGAAAAACATCCCGGCAAACTCCATACGCAGAGGTCACTTTGAGATGAATCACAAACTTAATTGTAAGAGAATTACGACGTTTCTAGAAGAGATTGTAAGAATATCTTATCTTGAGCAAAGTCCTCTTAAGCAAGACAAAAAAGGCAGTAAGCATACAAGAAAGGAATTATTGAACTTCAACAAAATCCTCAATTTCTGCTCATAATAACACCATTTAAGCTCACAGCCCCTCAGACTGGGAGAAAACATTTATAAAGCATTAACAGTAAACATCTAAGCTTCATTAAGAATACTGGAGTACACTAAGGAGTATAAGCATACTACAACTCCACATTTGTTTAACAAGGAATCCACACAGGTCCCTGAGTCACCGAGCCCGGAACGAGAGATTGGGGAAAGTGGGCAACACTGCTGGCGGGGAGGCCACCTTGAGGGAGGCCACCAAGCCTACTGTAGGCTTGTGCCGTATTTGGATTGCTGCAGTATGTATTACTTTTTAACATCATGTATCTTCTTCAAGTAAAACATAAAAAATATTCAGTGATGCCTAAATTCAAGCCGTGGCTCTGCACTCAACAAGCTACACATTCACAATCTAGCTCAAGGGAAGCAGCAAATGCTCAAGTGTTCAGTTTTCTACTATTCAGAGCAGGCAGCATGAACGCTAAAGCGGCTGGAAATGGCACAGCATCAACGCTGACATGGCTGGAAAAGAAATTTCAGACACACAGTAAGTCCCCAGCTTGCAAGTGCGCTCCGTTAATAAGTGAGATTCCTCTGTAAGCTAAGTGGCCTTACACAGCACGCCTGTGAAAGTTTGCAGCTCGGATGTTCCCAAGTCAGGGACTTGCTGTACTGTACTTCCACTTCCTCCAGCTTCTGATACATTTCTGATAGCTGAGACAAAGCTTCCTCCCGGCTCCGGGTTCCTTCCGCAGGAGCAGACTAAATCACTATACCACTGCCGGCCTCTTTCTTCCTTTATTCTCTGTTCTGGGGGAGGGGTCCGACGGGTCGCCTCCTCTGCAGAGTGCCCAGAGCTCGGCTTGCCCTCCCCCAAACCGCGCTGTCCAGCTGTCCTGGCGGGCGCAAGTGCCACGTGGACAGGCACCTGGTGTGGGCAGTGCCGTCCGTGTGCTGCCTGCTGGGTTCCCTAACGCAGAGGCAAAAGGAAGGAAGCCGATGTGCCCAGAGACACACGCCTTGTCCTCCAAGGTGGCATTTTGTCCCATGAGCCTTGCTATTCATCATGTTTCTCTGAGGTCCTGAAAGCTTTCCCCTGAATGGGGGCGTTTACGGGCGGACCCTCAATGGGCTTTACATCCCGAGTGTCTGTCGATTCCTCGGAGCCATTCCTAGGCCAGAACCAAAGAGTCCACGCATCATCCCGCGGCCCCTCCGCGCAGGGAGCCCAGCAGACCCACCCAACATACGACCCCCAAGCAAGCCTCCCAGGACCCTGCAGGACGCCACACCAGTGAGACTGGTCTGCTTCCCGCTCACTAACTCTCCGGAAGGGACAACTGGGCCACACCAGCACTCAAATCAAAGCCCTCTTTTGCCACCAGTCAGAACACAAGCTATGGTTATTAGGAAAACAGCTGGGCTTATTAATGAAGAGCTGGACTATCTCCTCTTGTTA